AAACGCTAAACCCTAAACCCTAACAAACCCTAAATCCTAAATCCTAAACCCTCCCTTTAAGGATCCGGCGCCGAGGACGTTGGGTTGAAAAGTCTAAAGCTTCAAGGAACTGAGGAGTTGGATTTTCAGGACGGAAGGAGCCTAGGTTTGCTTGTTTTAACGGCTTCTTTTTGGAAGGTTTATGGTTTATAGGGTTTAGGGTTTAGGGTTTAGGTTTCAGGGTTTAGGGCTTAGGGGGTTTAGGGTTTAGGGGCAAATTTTGGGATTATCTCACAGGAACCACCCCCTTCCAGGCAAGGGCTTGTCATCTTCTTGGGCTGTTGGTTGGCGGAAGGTTCTGGGAGGCTTTAGCACGGTTTAGGGTTCAGGGTTTTGGGTTCAGGGTTTAGGGTTTAGGGGTTTAGGGTTTAGGGGTATCAGGGTTTAGGGTTTACGGGTTTAGGGTTCAGGGTTTCGGGGGTTTAGGGTTCTTTAGCTTGCCTGGCAAACTGCAATGCTGACAGCTGGCCACGAACCCCTACAACAGCAACATACAAGCCTGGCAGAACCATTATAACACCTGCCAGTTTAGCCCACGACAAACCCCACCACAAGCAACCCAAGACTAATAACACCCCAAAACCAAACACCTTAAACATTCAATCACTAGACTCCTAGAAAAATCCCCTACAATCTTAACCCTGAACTCCTCACCACAGACCCTTCTAAGCGCTTTCATCCTCGATGCGGTGGGTTCCGGTAGTCGCGGCTTTGGCGAAACTCGGAGGAGTGATTCCAGAGAATCAAATTCAAACGCTCTCCTCCAGGATTTGGGATCTGGGGTTGTCCGGCTGCAGGGTGAAGGCACTGGGTTGTAGTTTTGGGGCCCCAGAAGTATTTATGAATAAAAGCACCTCTGTAGGACCCTACATGAAATGATCCAGTTTCCAACCGTGCCATCTACAAAATGTCAGGGGCCTTCTAGATTCGAGTCCGGCTGTGTGCAGGTTTGTAGGTTGTGGAATTTCGGGCTTTGGTTTCTCTAGTGCTTATGGTTTGGGGTGTAGCAAGGGTGTAGGGATGTGTAGGGGATGTGTTTCGGGGCTCGTGTTTCGACGGAACTAGAGAGGCTTATGGGCTCTAGGTCTAGAGACTTGTGAGTTCAGAGTCCTGAGTTGCCGCTTTTACTGCCTGTTTCTGTGAGTCTATAATGATAAAAAAAAGCGGTTGACATGTAATTAGGTCCACAAGTACGGGGATTGATGTCCGGGCTTGGAGTTTCGCCGTAAAGTGTAGACTGTCAAGTCGGGTATAGGTTTTGACGCGTGCAAGCCTGAACCCTAAACTCTATACCCCTTAAACCCTAAACCCTAAAAGCCCTAAGCCCTAAACCTTAAACCCTAAACCCTGAACCCTCAACCTTAAACCCCAAACCCAACACCTTAAACCCTACACCCCAAACAGAAGCTGTGATCAGCACACCTCAGGTCTCGCAGTCTCCTGAAGTGATGTCGTCGGCTCCGTGGCGTTTCCGGCCCAGATGCACCACCTTCAAATTCGAATTAGGCTTTAAGGCTTATTATAGGGTTTAGGGTTTAGGGGTTTAGGGCTTATGGGGTTTATAGGGTTTAGGGGTTTAGGCTTTAGGGGTTAGGGGTTTAGGGAGACTTCTCTCTTTTGAGGGGCCCCTCTTCCGGGCGAATGTGTTGTAAAGTTTCACGCACAATGCAACTGAGTCATGCTACTGATGATAGAAATCCTTAGCAATTACCTTAAGGACCCTAAACTATGGAAATTATGGGCTATTCCTTATTATGGGTAGTGCAGGATTTGTATCATTAACCGTAAGCTCTGGATCCTAGGCCCACGCCCGCCCACGGGACTCAGTTGCCAGGGTCATCATCTGCACGACGGAATGAACCCTGAAAGGGATTGCGGCCAACACAGGGAGCTTTGCATGCACAACACAAACGGACATAATACTTGCAGGGGTCAGTTCGTCCTAAATGGTGCTACCAGTAGTATATGTACTACTGCTTATGCTTGCCGGCTTCGGTTGTCAACACCAACCCCAAGCCCTGAAACCTAAAGAATAGCAGCAAACCAGACCTCCGAGACAAGCAAACACTTACGAAACCCACCAATCCGCCAAGGCACGCAATGACCCTTCCTGGGCTCAACACAGGAGGGACTGGATGTGGCAAAAGGCAAAAGGCTTCAAAAAGCTCATGACATACATCCAATCTTGCCCATCTAGGTCAGGTTGGACAAAGTATGTGATGTTGTACGGGCTTCTTAGGTCATATGGTTTCCTCGTTGTAATTATACCAATATCGGAAAATCTACCCTAAACCCTAAACCGTCTGTTCAGTTGCGCGAGAGCCTGCATGCTGAGCCGAAGAACCAAACCCTAACCACGGTTTAGGGTTTAGGGGTTTAGGGGTTTAGGGTTTAGGGTTCAGGGTTTAGGGCCCTCAACCCTTACTGACAAATTTGGAGCCGATGAACAGGTTTTTCGTTGCTATACCGAAGCTTGATATACCCTCAACAGCGAACCGAATCTATTCAGACTTCAGAATAGACCCGAGGCCTCATATCCTGTAGGGCTCCGGGGCGTATAAGGCTTTATAGGGTTTCGTTTGGGGCTTACACTCCAGAGAGCCCAAGAGACTCCACTATACTCGCAACTAGGTGTAAGTATGCGCAGAAGTCTGGAACCCCACCGAAAACGGTTGCTGATTGATATGGGGGGCCTTAGCAACTAGACTAGGCTGGTTATGGGGCATAGGGACATAGGGGTTCAACAAGGGATGCAATGGTCAAGAATTCCGACCCCAAGACCATTCCTCCGAACCAATATTTGCCAAATGAGACCTATTCAGAACAACAGTCGGCTGAGGTCCAACAGCCACAAGCTCCCTGCAGTCACCGGGGAGATCTAGTTCGGAATAGCCCCCGCAATGGTATCGCGCGTACACATCTGATCCAGCGATGCTTACCAGCCCGACCACTGAATCCCAGAAAGCTCGAGCACGGATTTAGGATGATTAGTGCTGGGATCTCCTATACTTTACCTTAAGGGAACGAGGATCATGATGTTCCGACCATTTGGCCTCTATTTTACACCCTAGACCTTCAAGCCAGAACTCAGTTTTTTGTGGGAGTACTTGGCATTGCTCATGTCCCGAACACTTGGACCGAACACCTGTTTCGGAACTCTAGATTCCAGATGCCTTGTGGGGTTGCAGGACCCTGCATATTGTAACCTGCTGACAGGGGGCAATAGGAACACATGTTTTCGGGGTCACCTAGAGCTCGGATTAGAGGTTTAACTCACTCATTACAGGTCCTGCATAAACCCTAAACCCTAAACGCAGCGATCCTACAGGGTTCAACGTTTAGGGTCTAAGGTTTCGGGTGTAGGGCTTACGACAACCCGACGCCCTAAACCCTAAACAAATCCCTCACACTTCGTGCTGTCCAGCATCCGGTGCTGGTAGGTCAAGTGGTGCTTTCGGTGGTCTGGTGTCCCCACAGCGCCGCAGAACCTCTTCAGAGCGTGTGTCGAGGCTATTGGGGTTTCGGGTTCACCAGTCCTGCAAAATATGATATGACGGTACCCATAGGCCCCTAAGTAGTTCCTTTTTGTGGTTTATATTTAGAATCCTATAAGGTAATCCCCAAAATGAACTACTTAGGGGCCTATGGGTATGTACGAGTCATAGTGCTTCGAGACTCAAGACTTGGGCTACTTGGGTTCCGACTTTGGGGTGAAATCTTTCCGGTGCTCCCTGACACTAAGGGTCCATGTACTCATGTAGTATATACATTTGCCTTAAAGTAGTCCCTATATGGGTACATTGGGCCCAAACTATACAACATTTGGGCACATGGACCCTTAGGGTGACACATACAAAAAGTTGCTTATCTCTTGCCTGCTTGCCTTCGCCAGTCTGGAAATCATGCCTACTTTGGCCGGATAGCTGGAGGGTGTCACATTACGACTTGGGAACCACACATTATAAAGAACGGGAATGAAATATGACCTCTAGCTCCACATACGAGTGAGAGTTTACATAGGGTGTGGGGCTGGGAGTTTAGGCTAGGGTTGGGGTTTAGGCTTCGGGGTGTAGTGATCAAGGTCATTGGCCAAGGAGTTTGAACCTGTTGCTTGAAGAGGCGGTGCAACCTTCACGGTCTGGAAAGATTAGGACCACGATTTCCCCAAAACCCCTAAACCCTAAACCCATGCTGGTACACTTCCAGAACCGGGCCGACACAAAGCCAAACATAAGGATTCAAGAAGACCTTGGTCGCACTCTGAAAGCCACCTAGCCCTACACTTCAAACACTGAACAACCCTAAAGCCTAAACCCTAAACCAACCCCGAACAACCGTGACAATCCACAAAATCTGAACATATCAGCAGAGGATCTGCAAACCGGCGCCAGTGAAGTTGAGGCCCAGGCAGATATTGAAGGTCACATCCTGCTTAGGCTCAAGGTCGAGGCCTTTGGCTTTCGCAAACCTTGTAACTTATGGTTTCTATAACAAGCCCTTTTAAATCGATGGTCTCTAGAATAAGCCCTTTTACAAGGTTTTTGTATCGGGGGTTAGCAAGAGATTGTACCCCTGAACCCCTGCAGGCCTCAAGAATTATCATCTACAAATAAGAATTACCGTTACGGTTTGGGCAAACATCCCCCCCGTGTAGGTACTTAGGATTGTTTGGGGAAAGGTGTGGCCAGGTTTGCCTGTAAAACGTGCTGTTAACCAGCTCTTGCTAATCGGAAGAGGGGAAAACGTAATGGACACTTGCACCTTTGACTGAGAGTGCATAACAACTACTACATGGTCTCCATCAGTCTTCCCCGGTACTAGACAAGCTCAAGTTACAACCTTTTTCCACGAAAAGCCTCGCAACCATATCTCCGAAAGTGCTACCAAGGCAGGGTCAACGTGGACCGAGTGGTGATGAGGGTTGAGAAGCAGGGCCTTTGGGGCTTTGGGGTCTAGGGTTTATTCGAGGTTATAGGCGTGGTACCTAAACCCTAAACCCTAAA